TGCAGCGCGTGCCCCGCACGCGGGCGGCCGGATCAACTCCATCCTTCAAGATTCAAGTAAAACTTTTTACGAATTTCTCAAAATAAAACTACTTCTAATAAAGAAATAAGCTGAACTTTATAAAACTCCTGAAAAATTAAAATAAACCCCAATCTCCTGGTAGCATAAATAGAAAGTTTAGTGCACAGTCAATGTGTAGGCTCACGCATAATGTTTTAACTCTATACACATCCATCATAAGATCGCATAATTTTTTAAATTTCCCAAATACTTCTGCTTTGTTGTTTCAAAATGTTTATTTCTGTTCCCAATTCACCTAATTCTGCAAGAATAATTACTAACCGTCCAACAGAAGTAGATGAATACTCCCTAACAATATCACCAACTTTTTTAATATAGTATTTCCAAACTCAATAGGGAATTCTCATGTGAAATAAATATGGCTTATTTTGTTTTTATGGTGCACATTTTTCTGTAAAATATTAAATATGAGCAGCACCTTCTTCCAATTAATTTTGAAAAAACTATACCCAAAAACTTCTAAGTGCAGGTAAGTACCTATGTTATGTAGGTAAGTATTACGACTAGGGACTGGGGTGTCTTGATTTTTCACAGGGCCCTATTTTCCACTTTCTTACCTAGGCCCAAGCCAGGCCCTATTTAGTTTAGGATAGTGTTTGTCATTATTGATCAACACTCACTCGCATTCAAACAACTCATAGAAAACAAATATGTTGATATGTTGTTCCAAACAAGTTTTTTTTAACTGTAAACGCCCAAAAACTTTCACTTTGAGGCTCGAAATGAAGGCTTTTGGGCGTGGCACCCAAAAAAAAATTCTGCCTCCGGCGGCGCCTGCGACGAGCTACCACCACCGGCACCTACGTAAGGGTGCTATATCTTTATCGGGCGGCGCAGGCGGCCGATACCCTAGGATCTGCCCTGTTTCAGTGTTGTGTACTGCAAATTTGATTATGTTATGAATATGTCAACTTCTAATGATTTTTAAGTGATTTATGATGTGAGGATCTCAACGATTAAGATTCAAATTATGTATGTGTATTATGGTATGTTTTAGTTTATGCATTATGATTGATTAAATTGAAATCTATCTCAATTAGCGTTAATTTGAATTTAAATTTCGCGCGATATTATGACGGATGGCGTTGACAGCAGTGACATTTTGCAACTCTAGACATTTTTGATAGAAGAACTTGACAGAAGTCTAGAAAAATAGGTTTATGAAAAAAATATTGGAGTTCACGTGGTTGTTAGAAACTAGATTTAGTATTATGTATTTTTGAGTCGAAAATAAATACTGTGTTGATTGAAATAATAGTTTACTTTATCTATGGAAAAGTGATCAACCAGTAACCAACAGAATATTGTCATTATCAGGCATTCCAGGTCACGTGACTTTTGACAGGTCCGCCATATTAGCTGAGGGGCAAACAAAGCCTATAGATCATATTGTTTACAGTGTTTTTTGAGTTTGTGCTTCGGAATTTTTGCTTTTTTTGATTTGTTCAATAAGTTTTAAGTTGTTTTTAGTTTTTGTGAATGAATGGAATGAATGAATGAATCTTTATTTATAGACATGCCACTTTACATTTCAACTCAACAATAGTAAACAAACAATTTATTAACAAAAATAATGCTTAAGAATCTAAATTGTTTAAAAAATAAAAAAGTTTGATACTAACAACCTTACAAATAAACTTTAGCAAAATAAATTTGTGGTAGAATGACTCCTTAAACGTTTTGACTGTTCTGATCGGTGCATAGATCTGGCATGTAGCTTAGCTTACTGGCTCGTTCATTCTGGGCTTTTATCTATTATCGTAGTATATCCTAAATTTGTACTAGGGACCCAATCCGGATTGTTTGTATCCTTAAATTCTGCTGGACTACCTAAAAGGTATTAAAAGTTACCTACTTGTAGAAACATAAACAACTTTTTTGATATACCGAGATGAAGTGTTTTTGTATTTTAACAACAAAACAGTCATAAAACTTACCATTAACAAAATGTTTCGAAAAAATTCGAGCATTTTCAACAACGCTACAGTCAAATCTCACCTTTTGAGGCATCTAATTCACATCCTCCGTTGTATTTTTGATAGCTCGTTTATGCGATCTCCTCGATCTTTAAATGCTGCTGGAATCCTAAAAAACCTCACTTTATCCCTTTCAGCTCTATTGGAGCACCCAAAAACGCGACAAAACGAAGGCATCTTCACAAAATAATACTTCAAAAATTCTCGGTTTGCATTGAAAATAACATTAAATCAGGTTATGTTTGGCTTGTGTCTGCCCCTCAGCTAAAATGGCGGATCGGTTATGACGTCAACCTGGAATGCCTAATGGTTTACGATTTTTCGTGTTTAATTTTTACGTCCTTTTAGGTTTAAATATATTTTAGAATATTTGAATTATGATTCACGATTTTGTTGGTTTATTTATATGTATTTGGTTTTTGTATTTAAAACAATGAAATAAGTAGAATTATTGTAAAGGTATGATCACATTGTTCTTAGCGTTGGGGAGCAACTCTTTCACAGGAGGGGCATATGTCAACTGGTCTATAAATAAAAAACATCCTGTGTATCAATAACCCATTAATTAAAACTAGAACACGATTCATCGACAATCAGCAGTTTAAGCACGTCAGCACTACGTAAACTAATGTTTACATGAAATGGATATAAAAACCGATGCAGCCCATGGTATCGGCACCTATTTGGGTCGTTTTCTCCTCAGGGTCTCCTTACCCAAAGGAGCAGTAGCTACACTTCTCTTCAGGGTCGCCTTACCCCAGAGAGTCTTGGAGCAATCCTCTTCAGGGTCGCCTTTCCATAGAGAGTCTTGTTTGTTTCAGGGCATCGCTGCCTATACATGCGGGAATCAATTGCACACCCTTATCTGTACCTCAGAGGTAAACTGTATTAAGTCACTTTTTTGCGAGAATGGGTTTTTAGCTGAATACTACTTCTAATAACTTACTTTACCTCTGAAAAAAATTTCATATACCTAGCTTTTAAAAGACAACCGAAATACCCAGTTGGAACCTGTATCAAGTCACTCACCAAGCTCTAAGGTGAATTATACTGAAATCACTTAGTATATTATGCCCCGCAAATTTTTCTTCAGAAGGACGTACTTGATATAAAATCCCTCCGAAATTGTCAGTGGGCCGGCTTTCTGCGCGTGTTCTTTAGTAGAATCGTTGTGTAGAATTAACATCGTGATAATTCGTCTTTATTGTTGTTTTGATTGTTATCATTACTATTGGTGAAATACCAACAAAAATAATTATCGAAAATGTTATGAAAATATACCTAATTCACTGAGATAATATAAAAGATGAAGAAAACTGTGTTACCTATAAGATACATTAAATTCACCAAATCGTCATAAAAGGCAGAAGCTTCAGTGGTGTGAGGGGAATTAATGAAATACTTCAGCCTCAGTCATTCATCTTCTTAGAAATGTTATAGTTATGTATATTTTTTTTATTCCATAATTAAGAATATATAATAAATCTTCTTAGAATTCCGATTTTTTCACATCAATTATTGTCTATTACCCAATAATTCTGAAAACTTTTGTCTTGAAACACGTTTTACAAGACATTGGGCGACATCAAAATTTTCTCAATTTACCACAGGTAAAGTATGTTAAGTCACTAAAATATGTTTTAAGTCGCATGTCATTATCAACTTCACCAGTGGTAAAGTATGGTAAGTCACTAAAACTAATTAGTACTGGCATTTTTTCTAAATCAAATAATAATTCTTATTACGTCACTAGGACATAATTCCATAAGCGAAATAGATCACTAAATTATAGGGTTTCGGAGAGATACCTAATTTACATGATTTACAATTGTTTTTTGGCTCTTCTGAAAAATTACAATATTATGACTTATTACACTTTACCTCTGAGGTACAGATATGTATGTAGAGTCCCGAACGTGAGAATCATGTGGCGCACCTACGTAGTGCCCCTTTTTGTACTTGTGTGATTTCCTGAAGAGCAACCCCTAACCTGAGGTCCTACCCACACTAGCCGTGAGGCGTGTGACATAATTACTCATATTGTTCTAAACGATAAATGGGAAACTAAGGCTCTAAGAACCACTTTTCAAATTCCACCAAGTGGTTTGGCACGAACCAAAATCTAAAACTAATATCCCTACTTTTTAGTCCTGGATCAATGATCGTCTCTAAAGTTTTCCACCTACTTTTATATCGTTATCTATTTTGTAATATCAAATAATTTTCTTATCTTCCATAGAAATATGTAAAATAGTTCTTACATGTCAATAAAAAATATAGAGATTTTATTTTTATTCATCACATCCTGATGATATACCGAGCCTCAAATCTTGTTATTACGATGTCCTATTTTAACAAAACTTCATTACTGGGGGCCCCTCGAAGGCTGCAGAAGATAATAAGATTTGCTATCCCTGAGGGCTCGTACATTTAACCAGGCACTGACGGCTCAACTCTTGCAGCTTCGCACCACAAGAGTTATTGCTTGTTGCATTCCCGGAATGACACAGTCTGAACCGGGGAGCAGGATTTTTCATTGAAATAAATGTTTTTTGTTTAAATTTTGATTATTTTTCCTGTCTATCAGAAGCAAATTTGTCTATTGGGCTGGAGTTTATTATTCGAGAAATCTTCTCCTGGAAAATACAGGAAATGTATTGCATTTTTGTTTGCGGAAAAATGTGTCGAAGCTGAAAAGAAAATTGCACCTAAAGCTGCAAAAATGTCGGTCCAATATCAACCCTAAAATTAGAGTCCGGTGGCTCTATTTAGTTTGAAATTGGTCCCAAGAAATGTGTCACTGGGAAATTTAAAGAATTTACTCCATATTGACTTTCCTATGGTTGGCATTGTTGAGTTTCTTATTTACTTCAAGCAGATATTGGACCTCCAAAGTATAGATAATTTTTAATACAAGATGAAAAATACAATATTTTTATCATTTTAGATTCATTTTATTTGTACTTATCGCTAACAGAACTCATATTTAAAGCTTTTTTTTTATCGAGAATAAAGTATTTTGTTAGTGTTGAAAAATATCTTCAAACTCAAATTACTGGCGCAGCTTCTGATCCATTTCTGATGTTGATAAAGTAACTCACCAAATCTATTGGTACTGGGAATATTATAGTTGAATTTTTCTCTGCTGATATATTATTGAGGGTTTGGAGATATCTCAACTACGGATATAGAAAATAAATTAAACGTTTTCAATATAAACAGTCGAAACTTGCTTGTAATGCAGCAGGACTTTGAGAAATGACGTCAGATGCTTCTTTTAAAGCTCTGGAAGCTTTCATTTCACCCTCAGCTGCAATAACTTTGGCTCTGGCTTCACGAGAAGCTTCAGCTTCGGCTGCCATTGCTCTTTGGAGTTGTTGGGGCAAACTAACGTCTTTTCTAGAGAGAATTTAAAAAATTAATGAGGACAAAGTACATTTGGGAGTTTTTCTCTATAACTTGTGGATAAAATGTGTGGATTTTCTTGCTTAAAATTAATGCAACTCAAGCGATAAAATTGCAAATATATACTCACATTTCAACTCTCTCAACTTTAACTCCCCAAGGATCGGTTGCAACGTCTAAGGAAGCTTGCATGGCGTGAGAAATGGCCTCCCTGTCCGATAAGATTTCGGCTAAATTTCTTGTTCCTAAAATGTTTCTCAGGGTAGTCATTGCTAGAAGTCTTGTGGAGTTACTATAGGGACAGAAAAAGTTTGAAAATATTGGAAACATTTAAAAAATAAAAGTATTCACCTGTAATTCGAAACTTTCACTACCGCATTTAATGGGTCTTGGATTCTGTAGTATACCACTGCGTCTACAGTAACTGTTACGGAATCCTTGGTGAGTGCCTGGAAACAAAAGTGACACGTAGAAATAAAAGAACTAGAAACCTAGATGATAGAGACCTCAAGATGAGCGCAAATCTCTACCGGAGTCAGACTGCACAAATCAAGGTAGACCAGCAAATGTCTAACGAAGTACGGATAAAAAGAGGTGTCTGATCGACAGGGTTGCATCCATTCACTATTACTTTCTTATATTTATTCGAACAAAATATTTGAAAAGGCATTAGAAGACTGCACTGAGGAAATTTCTATCGACGGCGTGAACATTAATAATCTTCGGTATGCAGAGGATACGGTTTCAATCGCTGATATTATATTATATTATATTACTTGATCATTTGGCTACTGAGAGAAAGCCAACCGATCGATCGGGTCCAATCTTATAGAGGTTTTACACCAAACCGACTAGTTGAGTTGCTGTTTTAAAAAACAAAAACTCAACTGTTTTTACCGATAAAACTGTTCACACGTAGGTAATAAATATAACACCCATCCACTTTCTGAATTGAACTGAACAAAACTGCAACCGTTTCTCTGATGTAAAGCAACAGAAAATAAAAACTTGACAGCAACTAATTTTTGTTTGTTTAGTGTGAACAGTTTTATCGTTAAAAACAGTTGAGTTTTTGTTTTTTAAAACAGCAACAAAACAGCAACTCAACTAGTCGGTTTGGTGTAAAACCGCCATTACAGATAGGTACCTCTAGGATGTCAGGTTAATATGTTGTATTTAGTTCGTTTAGTAGTTAAGAGTTAAGGCCATGGGTATCGGGTCTTCAAAAAAAAAAAAACAATCAAAGATTGCTATGGTTTTTTAAACGTATGTCTTTTTCGTATTCTTTAAAAACTTAATAAAGAGACCTGTCCAAAAGAATGTGTGTGTTTCAATTAAATACACAACTGGCGACGTCGGATCTCCAGTCCATGCAATTTTTACTGTGCTCTGTGCTGTTGTCCCTTCAAAAAAAAGTTGTGTATCCTGTATAAGTAACAGTGTCAAAGATAAAATGGCGTTTGTTAGTAGCATCGAGGCTTTTTCTCCAGGTCAGTCCGACATAAATTCATATATGGAACGTATGGACCAATTGTTTACTTGCAGTGATATAGAAGGAGAGGAGACAAAACGGGCCATGTTTCTTACACTAATAGGACCTGAGGCCTATGGGGCACTGAAGGATATTCTGTTTCCATCCTTGCCAAGTACTGAAACTTATAATCAACTGGAAACAGCCCTCATAAATTACTTCAGTCCAAAAAGATTAACAATAGCAGAGAGGTACAAATTTTACGGGGCACACCAGGAGCCTAATGAAGACATAAAGTCCTACTCGTCCAAATTAAAGAATTTGTCACAATATTGTTCATTTGGAAATTTTCTGGAAGAGGCTCTCAGAGATAAATTTGTTTGTGGACTAAGATCAGAGTCAATTAAGCGAAAACTATTATCAGAAGGTAACTTAACTTGGGCAAATGCTTATAATATTGCTGTCGCAATGGAGCTAGCTGAAGGGCAAGTCAGAGCTATCCATAGTACAATCAGTGGCGAAGGTCTGCAAGTTAATAAATTGGGTCATAAGAAAGTCACCAGTCACAGTGTAAAACCAGAGAAGAAAGACCAGTATGCAGCACAGTCACGTTCCAATAACTTTTCAAGGGAGATGTTTCAGGTGTAAAAGAAGACACAACTCAGATACCTGCCTAGCAAAATCATGGGAATGCTTCAAATGCCACAAAAAGGATCACACAAGTACAGCTTGTCGCAGTTTAGGCATTAGAGCATTGGAAGAAAATGGCCTGCAGCGTGATATAGAGTCAGAGGATGAAGAAAACTCGTTATAGACCGTGAGATAGGGCCTGTTGGAGTGGAGTCATTTTTTTTGTCTGGCATTTTGAGGGATGAATGTGGCTAGTTAGCTGATGAGAATATAGGTGGTTTTAGTGCTTGCCACCTGTTCGAAATGTCAACAGAATGTTTCGCCGGAAAACTCGACTTCGAGCTGGGATTACCGTCTGGCGTTTTTTCAGCGATATTTACACAACAAAGCCTTTCATTCTCTCGATTACCAGACAAAAAGTAAACGCGGAAGGTTCTTTTCTTTTCAGTTGAAAGTTGACACTCATCCCCACTTTTTCAGCTATTGAAAAGCATCTAGTATTTTTTATGGGTGAATTATTTATCAATGTCAATCTTTTATTTAGAAGCCAAAAAATTTGAGATCATTAAAAAAAAAATCCTCATGTAAATCAATTTTTTTCTTCTGCAAATTTTCGAACAGGTGGCAAGCACTAAAACCACCTATATTCTCATCAGCTAACTAGCCACATTCATCCCTCAAAATGCCAAACAAACAAAAATGACTCCACTAAACAGACCCTATCTCACGGTCTATTAGAGCTGGCGTTTATTTCAAAAATCGACAGGGTTTCTGAAAATACTTTAAGAGTAAATATAATAGTCGAGCATGATCATTTCATGTCCTTGTAAAGATTTGTTTTACTTTCGTGGGTTAGAGGACAGGATCAAAAAAAGAAACTATCAAGCTTTCGGCAACGTTTCGGAATATATTTTTCCTTTTTCAAGCCTTAAACTATTGCTTCTAGAGTCCGTTCAGGATGGACAAAGGCACTCCTCAGCATATTATTTTAGGGATACAATCAATTTTTCCAAAATTCATTATTTTGAATTCGAATATTTAGCTAACTCATGATTTTCACATCTGATTTTGTGAGGTTATATTAGAATTCAAAATAACGACGAGAAGTGCCTTTGTCCATCCTGAACGGATTTCAGAAGCGATAGTTTAAGGCTTGAAAAAGAAAAATATATTCCGAAATGTTGCCGAAAGCTTGATAGTTTCTTTTTTTGGACCTGTTCTCTAACCCACGAAAGTAAAACAGATAATAGTCGAGGGTAAGCCATTAGAATTTGAAATAGACTCTGCTGCATGCAAGACCGTCATACATATGGCATATGGCTACATTTAAAAAACTTTTTAGTTCATGTGAATTATTTTATGTTGATTATAATTTAAAAGAAGTCACTGGTCAGAAAGTCAAAATCGTTGGTGAGATAGATGTAAGAGTATTATTCAAAAATTCAAAGTATTTCTTGCCTATAGTGGTTCTTGATGGAACCAGAGAGTTTTAACCAAATATTTTTAGTCTAGGTCAGTTAAGTCAAGCCAGTCAGAATGAGTCAATTGAATCAGTGAAGTCTGCGTCTTGTCAATCAGTCACATGTCAGTTAGAGAGTCAGTGTCAGTCTATGGTGTCAGTCATCAACAGTACGTAAGTCATTTCAAGGTACAAGTCGAAATAATCAAGCCAGTGACAGTCAAAATAATAAAAAGTCCGATTTTTTAATTCAAGAAATTGAAATAGTTATTTATTATACAAGGGAAAAAAGTACAAGATTTTAGCGCGAGGTGTGGTTTGTCTCCCGACACGAAGCGGAGGGAGACAACACAGCGAGCGCTAAAATCTTACTTTTTCCCCATGTATAATACACTTTTTTTTCTGTAACGGGAAAATCTCAACATTTTTCATCTATACATTATTCTCTTTGAGAAAAAAATTTGACTGGTACCTGTTACTTTTTTCCCTCGGAAAAAAAATTGACTGGTACCTGTTACTTTTTTCCTGTGGGTTCCCGTCACAGAAAAAATAAATTTTCTAAAGTGTTTAAAGAAGAACCCAACTCTGTAATTAAGAATTTTTTAATTGAGTTATAAATTAGAGGGTTCTAAGCCAATTTTCCATAGACCTTATGACATGCCATATGCTTTGCGCGAAAAAGTTACATATTAATTATCAAATATGGAAAAGTCTGGAATTATTTCCAAAGTAAGTTTTAGCAACTGGGCAAGTCCCATTGTTATAGTCCCAATAAAGAATTCAGGTAAATTAAGAATTTGTGTGGTTTTCAAAAAAACCCTTAATACTCTCCTGGGAACAGACCAGTGTTCTTTACCTCTTCCAGAGGATATTTTTGCTTGTTTAAGTGGTCAAAAATACTTTTGTATCCTAGATCCAGCCTACCAACAGCACCAAATTAGTGAAAAATCTAAAGAGTTACCTACTTACAATAAATACACATTTAGGTCTGTTCACCTATAATAAGTTAACGTACGGCATTAGTGCTGATCCGGGAATTTTCCAGAGCACCATGGATACCATATTGGCAGGGTTGCCAAATTGTAAAATATATTTGGATGATATTCTGGTTTATGGAGAATCCTTGGAGCTATGTCATGAAAATGTAGTCAAGGTGTTTACACAACTTCACAAATTCAATGTAAAAATTAATGAAAAAAAGTGTAAATTTTTTGAAGGCTTGTTGAATTTCTGGGTCATATTATAGATCAAGATTGTATACACCCAACTGATGAGAAAATTAAGTGCATTAACGATGCTCCGACTCCGTCAAATCTCACTGAATTTCAAATCTTATTTGGGACTTCTCAATTATTATGGAAAATTTATTCCTATGCTTTCCACCAAATTAAAACCCCTGTATGATTTGTGTAGAGCGGAAGTGGATTTTAGTAAAAATTGGTCTTTAGAGTGCCAGAGAGCGTTCGAGTTTAGCAAAGAGCTTACAACATCTAGTAGTGTTTTATTCCACTACGACCCAAAACTTCCACTCTACTTAACATGTGATAGTAGTGGCTATGGTGTAGGCGCAGTACTCAGTCATAGAATAGATAACGAAGATGGACCAATGATGTTTGCGTCTAGCACACTTTCTACGACTGAGAAAAAGTATTCAAATTTGGAAAGGGAAAGGTTGGCAATAATGTTTGTATTCAAAAATTTCATAAATATATTTTTGGTCGAAAATTTGTCCTAATAACGGATCATGAACCTCTTATAAATTTATTTTTGGTATGAACAAAGGCATTCCTGTGTCGTCTGCCGCTAGAATTACTAGAGGGCCATAACGTTGTCCGGCTATAATTATTCTATCGAATGTAGGAAAGGAAAATTAATTGCTAATGCCGATGGCTTTTCTAGGTTACCCATGAGTGGTAGTACTGATATATTAGATTGTATATGCTGTTTCAGCCTAATAAATGAAATACCTCTTAATTCAAGAGATATTGCTTTCAAGACAGGCAAAGATCCAATTTTAATAAAAATATTAGATTTTTCAAAATCAGGTCTTCCAAATTCCGTGGAAGATGAGTTAAAACCATATTTTAGAAAGAAACAAGAGCTCTCAGTAGAACAAAATTGTCCTTTATTAGGTAACAAGGTTGTAATTCCAGAGAAATTGCGTCGTAAGGTACTGGAACAGCATCTGGGCATAGTCGGAACAAAAATGTTGAATCAGGTCATATTGTTGGTGGCCAGGGTTAAACCAAGATGTGGAGCAGTTTATAACTTGCTGTGAAGTTTATCAACAGCTCCAGAATTTCACCAACACTAGTTCTTTGAATTCATGGCCATCAGCACCAAGTAATTTCTTTCGAGTAAACATTGATTTTTTCCATAAATTTGGTCGAAGTTTTATTATTTTAGTAGATAGTAAATTGAAGTGGCTGGAAGTGAAACATATGAAGTTTGGTACTAGTGCAAAAAAACAAACAATTCTGAAATTGAAAGAAATTTTCAGCTTCATGGGTTTGCCATCTGAACTAGTTGTCTGACAATGGACCTCCTTTTCGTTCGGTAGAATTTATAATGCTCTGTCAATCTAATGGCATTAAACCTGTGAAAGCACCCCCATATTACCCCCAAAGTAATGGGTCTGCTGAAAAGGCAGTTCAGAGAGTAAAAAAAGCTTTAGAAAAAGCTATATTCTCTCAGAATAAACAAGATATTTGAAATAGTCAGATTCCTCATTTATTAGCTGATTTCCTCTTAACATACCGTAATACTATCCACTGTCACAGGCTTGTCACCAGCTGAATGTGTACTGAAGATAAGACCCAGAACAAGATTTGATCTTTTGAAAGTTGTACCATGTTGGTGAACAAGTGTATGTGAAAGATACACTCAAAAAGCCGCGTGCCTAGCCCAGAGTTCTGGATTATTATTATTAGAATTCCGTATTCTTTAAAAAATTAATAAAGAGACCTGTCCGAAAGAACGTGTGTGTTTCAATTAAATACACAACAAATGAAGACTTAGATAACATATTATCTATTATGGTACCGAGGCGTAGACTCTGATAGACGGCAAGTATAAAAAGCTAGAGACTTTTGAAATGTGGACATATAGACGGATGTTAAAGGTATGATGGACGGACAGATTGCGCAATAAAGATGTTCTCACGAGAATGTCAAAAGAAAAGAGTTATGTTTACACTTAAAAAGCGAAAATTAGAGTGGGTACATCGGACAGATACTCAAGAATGACCAATACCTACTTCTCAAGCTCATTATCGAGGGGAAAATTGAATATTGAAATATGAATATAATCTGCGTAACTGGTATGGCAAAATCACAGTACAGATAGTGCTGATAGTTATCAGAAATCGCCAGAGGACAAAGCACTTGAAGAAGAAGAAGAAGAAGGGAGAGAACCCATGAAAAAGTTAAAACTAGTAGCAGTAGCTCGTAGCTCATTCGCTTATGCTCTTCTTTCATTATCCAGTAGCCACTATCTGGTGTAGTTTTTGTATAACAACGAAAGATCCGAATACCAATTTAGAAGATAATTCAAACGAATTAATGGACTCTGTTTTACCATTGGACGTTAATCCACGACTAAGCAACTTTCATTGAAAATAGAAAATAGTCTATTATGAGTTTTTCTTACCTCTTGTGGTGGAACATCAAAAGATATCGTCCTCAAATCCACTTTACAATAACTATCAATACAGGGCAGCACAAAAAATATTCCTGGGCCTCTTGCTGCACCAGCTTTGAGTCTTCCTAGCCTGAATATGACTGCTCTTTCGTATTCTTGTACTACCTTTAAATTAATTTTGAATAGTAAATTGAAATTAATTTAAGGTTGATTACCTACCTTGAAAACGCATAATAGTGAAAATGGCAACGTTACTATTAAAAGTATGACACTTCCAATTGTTGCTGCTAATTCTACACATCCCATAGTGTCTAGTTTTTCTGTAAAACACCAAATTCGGTAAAAATGAGAAATGATACAAAGAATCAAAAAATTTCTAGTATTTAATACCTAAATGGACTTTAAAGTTAGTATTATTTTAGTAGATGGCTTACTGTATTTTCGATGCACATTATTATAATGCTTACTCAAATTATATTTCTGTAATAGTCTATAGTCTAGAAACTAAAAAATCACGTCCACCTAATCCCCATAATACTGAAATGAAACAATATGTATTATATCCAAACTGAATTCATTACATTTTGATAATAATAATATTGAATCACAAGTTTAAATATAGCATTATCTTTTAAGTGCTCAGCGGAAATGGAAAAAATATAGCAATACATACTTAAGTATAGAATTATTTTGTCGCATGAAATTAGCATAAAAGTTGGTACTTTCCCAACAGGATGAATCAGATATTGTGGTAATCAATCGGGTTGAGTTTAAATTCATTCCAACTTTCAACCACAATTCTAAAATAATGAAAGATAGGTCAAACTATCTTTCGTAAATTTCTATATACTTTAACTCAATTTTATCGGTGTTAAATAAATTTATTATGCCTAATGGAATAGGTAATAAGTTACTATTTGACAATAAGATTGAATATGAACTTTTCCAATATTTGCAGTGTTTAAAAGGTATCGATGCAAGAAATATCATTGTGTTAGTCGCGACAGTTCAGTAAATACCATATTAGATTCACGTAATTTAGACTTACGGTATTCTAAAAAGAATTCAAACCCTCCAGAATCAGTTCGTCTCAATCCACCTTTCATACATGTGGTTGATTTGGGTTTGGTTTTTTGAGAAATTTTCTTAAATCGTCTTTAACTTATTAAGCAACTCTAACAATTTTATAAGGTCTAAATTTCAAGATAAAATAGTCTAGAGAACAACCAGGTACCATTGAATGAGATAACTTGAAATGTAATCTGTTTATCGGTTTTTATTAAGGTTTTTGAGTATCACTACAACTTACTTGTTGAAATTGAATTAACTTTCAAAAGCTGAAAATTAGAAAGGGTAGGTAGTTGCTCCCTAAAAACAAAAAGTAGGTAGAGTTTAAGTTCATACTGTTTTGTTTGGAACAATTCTTTGACTGTTCAAATCGAAAAGGAAAGTAAAGTCTTTGTTCAATTACTCTCTAAGTGTGATTTGGCATAAGATGATATCAATGTTGGTTGAAAAAATACAAGAAGCTAATTCTGACATTTTAGTCAACGAGTTTTTGAGGCTCCAAATTTAAATCAAAATATAAAGCAGTTATCTTAAAGTTAATTGTTGAATCTTAAAAACAAGTCAATGTTTAATTTTTTTGAAAATAAAACAGAAATTATCCAGAACGACCATCTTCAATAATAAGCAAATTTCAAATATAATGGCCCTTATTTTATCTTCAGAATTTAGCTTTACAAAATCAAACTCTTAATACTATTTTTCAATCAATTTTCATAATCTTATTCACTACACTTTTCTCACACTTTAGTATTCGCGCCTGAACACTGAACATATACTCACTAAACCCAAACCGGATAAAAGATTATTGCGTATAGGAAATAATGCTATACTTAGTGGGAGAGAAGAAAATGGCTCTATTTTTAGACTTGGGATAATTAGTTCTTTTATAGCTTGAAATGGTGTTAAATAAAGTAGAATGACAGTAGTAATTTTAGTTTTAATGGCATCAGTTTGTTTAGACGATAACAAATTTATTTTGATTTGCTTGTTTTCCTAAAATTATTCGTACAAGATAATCTATTTTTGAAAAGCAAAATATTCCTCGTGAATCTTTTTTTTTGATTTCCTAATGCTTTTTGGACACTCGGATTTTTAAACATCATCGCTTGACATAATATTACGGAATGTATTCAAGGATAACAGATGGAAGACTGACTGTTTCATTTTTTCTATAAATTTGTTTGTGTTAATTTTGATCTATGGATAATTTTTAGTTCAATAATAACAAGTGATTTGTATATCCTTACATTCTAACTTTAGGCAGCACAAGATAGTATATTTTAAATATTAGCTTTATTTTGCATCCATACAGATTTGATTTTCTTCGCATAAAAGTGTCTTAAAAAACAAAAAGGAAATACTCAAATAAGTTGCGATTAATAAACTGAATAGACTGATATATTAACAATAGATACTAAATCCTGAAAATTTCAGCAAAATCATGCCTGCATTATTTGAGAAAAACAAGAAAACTTATAGGTAGGTACATTTACATAATCTTTTCGATCTGAGTAAGGAAAAAAGTTGAGAATATGGATCGTAAAATTTACGTAGGGATCTATTAAGGCATGGTGAAAGTGAAAAACTATACCAGAATATAAAGCCCATACTACATCTGAACATTGACCTCTTCCAATAATTTCCTTTGCTGGATAATCTTAGTCTGGAAACAGTTTTTTCCGCGTACCATTAGTTGGTATTTACTCCCTAAGGATTTTAATCCATTTAGAGTTCTTCAGTAACTGTGGGTTCAAAATTATACAGTGACCGCCAAAAAGTTTGCAACAAATGGGAATTTTTTTTATTATTAAGATATCAAAGAGAATGTTACGGGGGATCGATTCAGCATACCCATCAACAAAAAAAAGCACTTTGACAGATGTCATGTGACCACAGTTATGGCGGGAAATTTAAAAAATTTGCCTTATATATGTAAAAAGTGGGGTTAGATGAACACAAATCGAAAAATTGTAGAGAGAAAAGTGGTTCAGGATTCGATTTTACGTCTATGTGTAAATTTTTAAAAAGGTACCTGGATTTTTAATAAATATCAATTTATTGGCCTGTTTTCTGGTAATTTGAAAAATTTCAAAAACTTTTCGCTTGGTTCACATAATTCAAAGTGAAACTAACAAAAAAAAAACCCAGTGCAGTCATTCTGCTTAATTGTCCCGCGGAAAATTGTAAAAAACCAAAAGTTCATTTTCAGACCACTCTGATCTTGTTGCAATGACCTACAGAAAACAGAAATTTGAAATAACAAATTTGGAATTAGTATAAAATCTTTCTAAATGATCCAATACCTCTTTTCTAAATTCCATCAAACCAATATTTTTGCGAAAAGTTTTTGATATTCTTCAAATTACCAAAAAATTGATATTTATTAAAAATCCTTGTACCTTTTCAAAAATTGACTTGTAGACGTAAAATCGAATCCTGAACCACTTTTCCCTTTACAATTTTTCGATTTCTGGTCATCTAACCCCAGTTTTCACATATTTAAAGCGAATTTTTTAAATTTCCCGCCATAACTGTGGTCACACGACATCTGTCACACTGCTTTTTTTTGTTGATAGTTATGCTGAATTGATCCCACGTAACATTCTGTACAATCTCTTATTTGATTGTGGACCTGATCTTCTTAGTACTGTGATTATTTGGATAAAATTCTATGTACTATACCTACATCTTATTCCTCTTCTAAGTATATCCTATTCACAATCCGATGTCCACAGGTAAATTTATCACCTTTCCCTATCAAATAGCATTGAAAGGTGATAAATTTTACTTGTACCTGTGGACATCGGATTGTGAATGGATATAGTATATTGTGTATTTAGGTGGAAAAGTGACACATTCTCGGCCGACGGTGTAAGTTGACGGGCGAGGCGTAGCCGAGGCCGGCAAACACCGAAGGCCGAGAATGTGCTTTTCCACCAAAATACACATACTATTTTTTCTGAGATCGGTTAAATATCTGTTAAACGTTTGTATTTTTGTTCCAATTGTTCAGCAGTACGAGAATCACTTTCCCGGCCTAGGCCGGAAAAGTGATTCTCGTATTGTTTTTCATTGTTTCCTTAGCAACTATTGAAACATAATTGAAATACCAGAATATTGGGTTTTGCGACCTGTCAACCGGTCAAAAATGCTGACATTTCTTGTCAATCTCAGAAAAATATAATTTTATAATTCGTTCACGAATTTAATGACACCGTCAAAGTTTTCCCATACATACCTACCTTATATTGAATTTCCTTTTTGAAATTTCCTTCGTATACATATTTTCGGAAGGAAGTAATAAATCAAGTGGAATTCTCATTTTTCTTCCCATGTTCAGCCGGATACTTTTTACCTACTGAATTTCGATTTGGAGTAGACCTGACCTGTATAAATATAATACTCTTGAAAATTTGTTAATATTTTTTAAATGTCCATACCTTTTCCATTTTTTAATTGGAATGAATTTCTCAATTTTTCAATTTCCTGACGATCAATCAAAGATTTCGGCTTCAAATCTCAGAATAATTGAGTGTAGGTATATAGTTTGAAATTTGATATTTCATCATTTTAGTTAGGTACCTACTTATGTAGGTACATAGTTATGCTCATATGTACTTATAGGTACCAATGATTTAGAATTTTGATAACTTCAAAATACCATAACTTTTTTTCTATTATACAGTGTGTCCCGCTTTCCATGAAATACACCTTGATATCTCAGTTATTAATAATGCGATTTTGTTCAAATTTTTTTTGTGATTGTTGTAAGGTTCGGACATTTGGAATAAACGAAATAGAGTTTCAAAGATTTATTTCAAGCTAAACTTAACTCATTCCGTCACTATATCTGTCACCTCTGCTCTCATATCACATATTACTGGTAACTACCTGACAATTGTATGTTACAGAAATGAACTATTTGACATGGTGAACATTTTTATTTACCATTGGCGTGCCATGTTGGTTGGTAAAAAGAGGTTGTATTTTTGGGAAAAAAGATATTAGGGCTTATTTTGGATAATTTTTTGTATCAGATTAAGAATCAGCATCCCCAAAAACCCCTTAATTCTTTTTTTTTCAAATCTCAAAAGATGATTTTAGCAAAAAAATAAATTAATTTATTTTAACTTACTTCTAATAAGCTATTTCTAATTAGAAGGTAGCTATGTTGAAAATACAATATTCTAAAATAATTTTATCTGCAATGTAGTCATCACAATTAGAAATAAACAACTTATTAGGTAAAGTGAATTAAATATCTATTTCTTTTTTTGGTAAAATCAGCTTTTCAGATTTTGAAAATACATATCGGGTCTTGACAAAATTAAAGAAAAATATTGCTATAAGACATACGTTTAAAAAACCATAGCAATCTTTGATTGTTTTTTTTTTTTTTTTTGAAGACTCGATATGATATACCTAAGGGGTTTTTGGGGATGCTGAATTTTAATCTTATACAAAAAATTATCTAAAATAAGTCCTAATATCTTTTTTCCAAAAAT